GGATCACAAAAGCCTCCAGCACATTCTAAATCAAAAGGAGATGAGCATGAGGCAATGAAGGTTGGTTGAGTTGCTAAATGATTATGAATGTGAGATCAAGTACCACCCAGGCAAGGCTAACGTGGTAACTGATGCCCTGAGCAGGAAAGAATACTCAGGTCGCCGGGTGAAAACATTATTGATAACCATCCACTCCCACCTAACCTCATAGATCAAGGGAGCTCAATTAGAGGCATTGAAGCCGGAGAATGCCGCTAATGAAGCGCTGCATGGGATGGATAAAAACCTTGAAGCCAAAGATGACGGAGCTTACTACTTCATGAATAGAATCTGGGTCCCAAAATTTGGTGGATTCAGAGAGATAGTCATGAACGAAGCTCATAAAACGCGATATTCTGTCCATCAAGGTTCGGAAATGTACCTGGACATTAAACAACATTATTGGTGGCCAAATATGAATGCAGAGATCACCACTTACGTGGGCAAGTGTCTCACTTGTGCCAAAGTGAAAGTGGAGTATCAGAAGCCCTCAGGGTTGTTACAACAGCCAGTGATACCCGAGTGGAAATGGGGAAAAGATTACCATGGACATCATAACCAAATTACCTAAGACAACGGATTGATTGGATGCTATCTGGGTGATTGTCGATAGGTTAACCAAATCCGCCCATTTCCTGCCAATAAAGGAATCGTACAAGATGGAAAGATTAACATGAATCTATATAAAAGAGATCGTGAGACTTCACGGAGTACCGGTATTTATTATCTCGGATCGGGATAGTAGATTTACTTCACGATTCTGGCAGTCGCTCCAGAAGGGGAATAGGAACACAACTAGACATGAGCACTGCTTACCACCCGCAAACCGATGAACAAAGTGAATGAACCATTCAAACACTTGAAGATATGCTCCGAGCCTTTGTGATCGATTTTGGCAAATCATGGGATACCCACTTGCCCTTAATTGAGTTCTCGTATAACAACAACTATCACACGAGCATAAAGGTTGCTCCTTTTGAGGCTTTGTATGGTCGCAAATGCATATCGCCTCTCTGCTGGGCTGAGGTGGGTGACACCCAGCTGGCAAAAGGGCAAACACCAAGTAGCACTCTTACATGACCCAAGATCATTCGGGAAATGACAGAGAAGATAATCCAAATCAAGGCACGACTCCAAGCATCGCGAGACCGACAAAAGAGTTATGTTGATAAACGACGAAAGCCTCTGGAATTCCAAGTCGGAGATCGGGTTCTATTAAAGGTCTCTCCCTGGAAAGGGATGATCCATTTTGGAAAATATGGAAAACTAAATCCACGATACATCGGGCCATTCGAGATTCTTGCCTGGATTGGTCCGGTAGCTTATAAGTTGCAGCTACCTGCGGAGCTCAGCAACGTACACCCCCGTATTCCACGTGTCGAATATGAAAAAGTGCTTATCAGATGAAACCCTTATCGTTCCTCTGGAGGAGATCGAAGTACAGGAGAATCTCCTATTCTTCGAAGAACCGGTTGAGATAATGGATATGGAAGTGAAGCGTACAAAACAGAGTCGCATACCGATTGCGAAGGTTCGATGGAACACTAACCGTGGACCAGAATTCACATGGGAACACGAGGACCAAATGAAACTAAAGTACCCTCACCTATTCTCTCGTTCATAGTTCTATCTTTCAAAAGAATTTCGGGACGAAATTCCCTCTAACGGGGGGATGATGTAACAACTGGCATTTTTGGCTAGAAAATTTTGTCCTCATGTACTCAACTTTTGTGTAACTTGTAATCTAAGTTGATGTTATGTATTAATGCTCATTCCAAAAACAACTATTTGAACCAAAACTCACTCATGAAGTTCAAAACCAAATTCAATACATCTCATATACTTAACTGTGGGTTTGAAACCCTAATATCCCGGTTCAAACTCAGAATGGACCAGGACCATTTTATTGGGCCTATTGGGCCAATAAACTTTCAAGTTGGGTATGTTGGGCCAAGGAACCCTATTTGGGCTCTAATTGGACCCACATTCATTATGATGAGTCCTTCACTTCTTAACACTTCATCTCATGATCCATGTTCATGAAATCTATTAGAATTTGAAGATCTCCTCAAAGAAATGAGCTAGGCCGAAAACTCTTCCAAATCTCCTTCCAAAACCGAAATCATCAAACCAAAGTGAGTTCATACCCCCTATTTTCGGTTTTTACTATGTTTTGGGGGAGAATACAAGTTGTTTTGTGTAGATCTATGTGTATATGCATGATTATGTGTGTTTTACCATGTTAAATGTTGTGTTTATGTGTTAGAACTCCATAAATCTTGATAGATCTACTAAAATATGGTGCTATTAGTAAACAAAAGCAGTCCATGCAAATTATTATGAAGATGAAAGGATTAAAACATACAAAGAATGCTTGAAACTAAGAAAAATCGTGTAAAGGGCCAAAAATTGACAAAATAAACAAAAGTGAGGATCTTTTGTCAACTCACGGTTTTAAAAGGACTAAAAGAGTCATTTTTAAACAAAAATGGGTCTTTATGATATTCATGGTTTTAAAAGGGCCAAAAGTGTAAATTTTCACAAAATGGGCCTGAAATTGGGCCTTCACGGTTTTTATGGGCTAAACTTGTAAATTTTTGGCTTTTTATGATTCAAATTATCATTTTAGACAAATTTGAGCCAAAAATGTAAATTTTCGGTTAAAAGGGCTGAAAATGTAAATTTATTTAAACTTGGGCCAAAAAGATAAATTTATTCACAATTGGGCCGAGAATGTCAATTCTCATAAAATTGAGGCCAAAAGTGTTATTTCTAAACAAAAGGGGCTAGAAATTCTATTTCGTTTAAAACAAGCCCAAAAATGTAAATTTCGGTCTTAAAGGACCTAAAGTGGCATTTTTACCAAAAATGTGCCTTAATTGTAAATTTTTGGTTTAAGGACCTAAAATGTCTTTTTACAAAAAGTGGGACTTTTTGTGTCATTTTGGTATTCAACTAAGCATAACAACCAACGTAACACCAAACAGATCAATTACGTCATTTACACTTCTTAATTGGGCCTGGAATATAATTTACATGTTTAGTGGACGTTAGTTGTCCTCTTACATGTTTATTGGGCCTAGAATATACCTTACATGTTTATTGGGCCTTAGTTGTCAATTTATATTCTTATTGGGCCTGGAATATAATTTACATGTTTAGTGGACCTTACATGTTTATTGGGCCTGGAATATACCTTACATGTTTATTGGGCCTTAGTTGTCCATTTACATGTTTATTGGGCCTGGAATATACCTTACATGTTTATTGGGCCTTAGTTGTCCATTTACATGCTTATTGGGCCTGGAATATAATTTACATGTTTAGTGGGCCTTAGTTGTCCTCTTACATGTTTATTGGGCCTGGAATATACCTTACATGTTTATTGGGCCTTCGTGGTCGATCTACATGCTTGTTGACTTCACACATTCACATACATACTCGTTGGGCTTTGAAAACTAAATACATACACGGAAACAATGTACATTGTGCAATTTCATATTCGCGTAAATTCAGTTAAGGATCTTGTGAGACATTTCGTTTGGCACCTATCGAGTGTACAACTGTAGCCTGTAGTTATAACGAGAGTCTCCTGGAGGGAGAACGGGAGTTTGTGCGTAGATCTATACGGGGGTGACACCCCACACCTGAGCTCTTCGCTATAGTTAGACTAGGCCAGTCTAGGGTGACAAACCTTACCTTAAACAAGTCGGCGTCTGAAAAACGTCATGACAGGCGGATTTGTCATTATCAAGTATGGTTATAACAACTCACTTAGAGGAATGAACTCTATTATAAAAATTTACGCAATACAATTTTTGTTGATAACACGGTAATATACACGCACTGGTACTCAACCTTTGGGTGTTGAGATCTCAACGTTTTATAAACAGACACCATCGGGTTGTCTGGGATCATTCACTTCATACACTTACAAACATTAACACACATGCATTAATACAAGATCGGATAGAAACATTTCAAACCGTTTTTCGGAAAATATCGGATTTTATAGCATTTACGAAGTAATACAAAACATTTTACTCAAACATACTTATGAACTCACCAACATTATATATGTTGACCTTTTCAAATTAACTTGTATTCTCAGGAAATCGTTGAGCAGGTTGGTCAGCAAGAATACCTGGATATTTTGTTGTGTTTTGTTGTCACCATACTTTGGATATTTTGGCATGTAATTTGAAATATAATACTTGATGTAAACAATGACAGTTGTAATATGGCATGTGTGATGACGATGATCTTTTGTTTCAATTATATACACTGTGATGATACTATAAATATGAAGTCACCCAAGCCCCCAGACGTTTCCGCCGTCTGGTTCGGGGGTGTGACACACAATTATTTTAGCCTGGGATGTTTTTACTCTGATATATTGATATGATGTTTGAGATACTATGATATACATTTTTATGAGAAGATTTGATAACTATGGTTTTATTCAATAAATTAAAATGAAATTTTTGGTCTTGATTTTTGGGATGTTTCAAATAGAAAACTGGTTATATTTGTTGATAAAAATGTCAGTATATATCTTTCTATCCTATATACTCAAGTTTTCGATTTCTTTAAGATTATACTGCTTTTTTATTCTACAGATCCGTTATATAATTTCTTGGTTTCCTACGATCAAGAATGGAGGATACTCAAGGCTATGAAATCAATCATTAAACACAACTCCATACGAATGTATCTTTTTTAGTTATGTTTAAGTCAATAACAAAATTAGATAAATTTTGAATCTTCTTTTTTTTTGTTGCGTGTTGTGATCTTTTGTACGATTTTTACATCTGTGAATGTAAATGTTATATAACATTACTTTGTATTAGGTTATAGACTCATTTTACGTACATTAGCCTTCAAGTCTGGATGTTGTTACTTGACTTTTCGTACTTGGTTTAACTTTTGGTCCTTATGCTCCAATTTTGTAATCTTGGTCCATGGCTGTCAAATCTAACAGCCCGAATGTTAAGTTTTCGATAATGGCAATTATTAAAGAAATGTATAAATGGGATGGGTTGAAGGTGGGGGGGGGGGATAATCGTCATTCCGCTTTCCATATACTAGCATTGTACTTATAATGTTTTTTTATACCATTCAATTTTACTAAATGTCAATTCCTTTGCCTTATACATATATTGACTAATACTACATATTTTTTTTCTCTTTTGCTTAGATGTTTCTTTTCCTTTAATGTACAACCTATGTATACTCTTCTTTGGGTAAAGTTGTAAGGATATGGGATATACGAAATGGGTTTTTTTTCAAAGTTTGTCCATTTGCAAAAAAAGATTACCAATATTAACAGTGTATTTCTCATTTTGAAGAATAATTGCAACATAGTTAACATTTTAAGCAATAAAAGCAATGTATTTTCGTATTATGTATAAAACGCATAAAGTAGACTGTATATAGTGAAAAATATACTCAATTAATATGTTTTTTTCTTTCAATTTCAACTTATTTCTATCATATGATATAGATTTTTACCAAATGTTGTCGGATCATTGTTGTCTAAATCATCTGCATCAACGGTAAAGCTTATAAGATTTTATATTATAAAATTTTAATTGTATTGTTTATATCTTATTTTACATTATGTATTTTTGTTGTTCTTGTATTAGGTCGTTTTTACTAATCAAGGAGTTTGTGTTTTTGATAAGTCCAATTCTCAGGTAAATAATCTTAAATTTAGAAAGTATCTGACGGATCTTGTTTCATTTCATTAAAATTTTATTACTACATATTTTGTTAAATTATCTTTATTTATTATGTTCATTATTCATATTTTTTTTCATATTAGGATGACTTACGTAATGTCAAAGATGATGCATTTAGTGCTTCTATTTCGAAGGTAAATGATACGGAATATAATGATGTAAGATATAACATTTTGTTAAAATTTTTTAATTGTCTTACGTCATGAAAATCTTCAATTGTTACTTTGTTATTGTTGTCTTCATGTGCATACTTAGGATGATATTGGTTTTTCTCTCATTTAAACAAATGTTGTTGAATCAGTATCACCTAAATCAACAACATCAACATTAACGGTAATTTTTATTGTATTTTTTACTATAAATTATAAATATAAATTATATTAGTTATAACTTATGTTTATTTATGTATTTCCCTTGCACTAATATTAGGTTATTTGTGATAATCATCAAGTTCATGTTTCTGAGAAGCTCATTTCTAAGGTAAATAATATTGAGTTTAGTAATTAATTCAGATCATGTTTTCTTTCCATTCAGTTTAAATTGGTGTATATTTAGTTCAATTATGTTATTTGTTATGTTTATTATTCATCTTTTCATTTCTCCAACTAGGATGGTGCTGGTAATATGAAATATGATGCTATTGTTGCACCTATGTATGAGGTTAGACATGGGAAATATATAATAATATAAGTTGTAACATATGTTTTGACATATGGTTTTACTTATGTTATTTTCTTATAATTAGGTTGCTTCTAATAGTAACGAAAATGATGGTGTTCAAAAATGTGTATCTAAGGAAAAGGATGTGGAAGATAGTGACAAATGTGACAATGTATGATTTAAATTTTTTATTTTTACTATTGTTGCATATTTTGTTAGTTTTGAATTTTTATTATTGTTCTCATTGATCTATGCAATTATGTTGGTTATGATACTATTGAAGATGATATTTATAAGACACCTATCTCCATATGTGGTTTAGAAGATGGTGAAGAAAGTGAAGTAAGTTACAACGTATTGTGTACCGTTTCTATTTTCCTTGCGATATGGAACAAAATTTCAACGATTATTGTCACCTACTTTTCTATATTCCTTTATTAGTTATGATTCTTATTGTCCGTACTTTTTTTACAGTTAGGAAGTTTGTGCTGTTATTGAAGTTGAGTCTTCTGAAAAATCGTATATTGGATCCTCAATAACACCAATGAAGCGTCAAATTCCATGATTGTGTGAGGAGTCTTCGGAAGATAATATCGTTAGTTGAATTCAAATTAGTTTTAAAGTGTTTTTTTGACATTGTTTTCTAGATTGTATTTCTTTTCCAATTTTCAGTTTTCAGTTTTCATATCATCGTAGTCCTCAGTTTGTTTTTTATAGGTTAATTGAAATTATTAACTGGATTAAGCTTTTCATAAGAGTTTTTAGACATATTTATGATTCGAGCATTTTAAATGTATGGAATCACATAGTACATTCATGTTTTTTTGTCCTTATGGCAAAACACGTTATTGTTGGGGTACCATACGCCAAATGATCTTATTGGGTTTGTCCTTGTGGGTGGTTTTATCTAAACCGATAATTTTAAAATGTTGACTTTCAGATCTACATTGAATAATATTTCAGTTTTTAGTCTTAAATTCACTATGTTGTTTATTTTATCTTATGTAAGCAACACAATTATAGATATTATTTCAAGAGATAGAAATATAATTGGATAGATTTGTCATGTACATAACTAATATAGAAAGTAATGAAAGTAATATGCTATAAAAATAAGATAAATCAATATATTATTTATACATTTGTTAACCTGTCCACCGAACGGGTATGACACTAGTTGCTATGAGTAAATAATCAGCACCACGTCATGATTTAAAGAGCCAAAATCAATTCCTAATAAGATCATAATCCAATTTAATTCAAGTTTCAAATTACAACAATAAAAATCGAACCCCCCTCCCTCCCTTAGAAGTCGGTGACAATGTGGACATCGAAACAACCAAAAAATTCAACTCCAATTTTTTTTTTATCTTTACATCAAATTCAAACCCTTTTATCAAGATATTGAAGAATAAAAAATGGTTGATAATTTGATTAAAGATCTCGATCAAACTCGATTAAGTTTTTGTATTGTAGATATTCTTTATTAATTGTTATAAACTAGGTTACTATTGTTGGTTGAATTTTTTTTTGATTGTTATAAACTAGGTTACTATTGTTAGTTGAATTTTGTTGATTGTTATAAAAGGATTGTTACAAAGTATGTTGTTGTTAGTTGAATTTCATTGATTGTTACTATTGTTAGTTGAATTTTGTTGAATGTTATAAAGTAGGTTGATATGGTTAGTTGAAGTTTTGTTGAATCTTTTTACTTGTTTTTAGGGTAGTGAAGATGAATTTATTGGTGTTACACCTCCTTTTAATATTGATGACGATTAGGAATAATAAGATGTGCCAAAGTCTATGAAATATCAAAAAGATTTGGCAATCAAAGAACCAAAGCACTTTACTGGAAATCGTTCAATGAACTTAAGATATTAGAAGATGATGGTGTGAAAAGAAAGTATACAAAATATAAGGTTTGCAAAATTTACTAAAAGTTGATCCAAACCGAAATAGGACTTCATGCAAATAAAATAGCTGCAAACAAAACTCTGTTGACATAAAAGATAAAAGTAATCAAGTTAAATATTAAGGATATAAATGGGGAGGCTATTGTAACAACACAGAAACACGACGAGTCTAGGGTAAAAAAAGCCTCATTAAACCTTTTTATGGTAGGAGAACTACCATTTAAGCTCATTGAAAATAAGACTTTTATTGAATACACCAACAAAATTAATGGTGGGGTTGACATAAGATTTCTCAAGATGTAGCCAAAATTTACATAGAATAGAGAACAAAAATGATTCAATATCTGAATAACCCAAATACCACAATACATTTGAAAACAAACACTTGGACCGTTGGTCCTGTTATCAAAGGGTGACTTACATGGTGGTGAATTGAATGATATACTATAGAATAATAAACTTTATGGAGAAAGATAACCACAAAGGAGGGGAAATTGTAAGGACGTGGAAACGACAAATCTATGGTAAAAAAAGCCTTATTAAACCTTTCTATGCTAGGCGAACTACCATTTAAGCTTATTGAAAGCGAGCCTTTTATTTAATACACCAACAAACTTAATGGTAGGGTTGTCCGGTCATTTAGACAAAAGATTTCTCAAGATGTAGCCAACATTTACATAAAATAGAGAACAAAAATAATTCAATATTTGAGTAACCCAAAGACCACAATACATTTGAGAAGAGACACTTGGACCGTTGGGCGTCCTCTTGGCAAAGGGAAGGGTGACTTACATAGTGGTCAATTAGATGATCTAATAGAGAATAATAAACCTTATGGAGAATAATAAAAATGGTTGAGAGTTACTAGATACCATTCACTTATAGGGATAATTTAGGACAAAACCTCAAACTCATATCTTGCACAAAGTCTTAGAGGTATCTACACAAGAAAAACTACGCTCTCTTGACACATGTGGTAGATAAAGGAGTGAGGAGATCAAAGACATACCTCAAGTATACGGCCTATCTTGATGTATTTCATAAAGATCAGGATATCATAAACTCATGATACTGGAAAGAGACGTGATGAAGATTGTATTTAAGACTCGGTATGATCATTAAGATTTCCTAGTTATGTCTTTCGGATTGACCAATATTCCAACACTATTCATGAAGCTTATAAACCATGATTGCAAACCGTACTTGGACGAATTCGTGATCGTATCTATCGATGACATATCGATGTACTCCCGAACCAAGGAGGGACACGACCAATACCTATGGCTAGTCCTTGAACTACTAAAGTTGCACACCAAATTCTCTGAGTGTGAGTTAAGGATTAGAGAAGTACACTTCTAGGGCATGTATCAAACAACAAAGGGATCCATGTTGACCCTTTTGAGAATGAAGCTACATTTTAGAAGTTGGAACAAATGTTGTGAAACGCACCAATCCTATCCCTTCTGAAAGGAACATATTATATTGTCATGTACTGCGACACGTCACATTAAGCACGCCAAAGGGACCAGGTTGTTGCCTAGGCTTCCTTATAAATCAAAGTGAATGAGAACAACTACACTACCCATGACCTTGAATTGAGAACAATAGTTTTTGCGATGAAAAAGTTACATGTATGATACAAAGTGTGACATACTTACAGATCACAAGAATCTCCAACACATCTTCAATCAAAGAGAAGCACATATTCAACTAGAGAGAACACAAAATGAGGCAACTAAGATGGTATGAAATCTTGAATGATTATGAGTGTAAGATTCGTTATGATCCTGACAAGGCTAACATTACAGTAGTAGTCATGAGCCGAAAAGAACAAGTCAAACCCTATCTGGTACGAACATTATCAATAACTATCCATTCAAACCTTACAACATTGATTCAAGATGCTCAACTCAAGGATCTAAAATAGGAAAACATCACACATGAAGCTTGAAGGGAATGGATAAAAAATTTGAGCTAAGGGATGACGAAACATAATACTTTATGAACCGGATCTATACACCTTAGTTCGGTGATATCAGATGCTCAGTTTTGAATGAAAGCTCACAATTCAAAGTATCTCAACCATCCAGGTTCTAACATCATGAACTTAGATCTGAACAGACTATATTTGTGACAACCCGTTATTTCATATTAATAAAAAGTCAACAACGGTCAAGATACTAGAAACCATTTGATTAAATCGTTATTATAATTAGGTGATAATGTAATAGTGTTATTGAAATCAAAATATGCCTTTCCTATGAATTCTGAGAAGTCTCGCAATCACTTGCCTCAGACCAAAAATGAGTTTTCGGTCAGGGCTGCAAACCCTCGCATATGGCCATTCCCTTTGGACCGCAAACGACTTTCGACTTCAAACAGCTTCAGACTGTAAACAGCTTCGGACCGCAAACTGCCTCGTTCTTATCTTCTTGAGTGGTGTTCTCGGCCGAAAACGCATGGTTACATATATATGGTGGACTGAAAACATCACTCACTTCTTCACCTTTTAGGCTGAAAACTCTCAATTTTCCTCTCAACTATCATCCAGAAATCCTTTGAATCTCCTTAGGATCTTGCCAAGAACACCAAGTGTTCTTCATATCATCGAGCTATCACCTTCCATTTCCGGGATCTTCAACCGAAAACGCACACATCCTCTTGGTTTCACCAAGAACACCAAGAACACCAAGAACACACCCCTTGAATCTTCACGTGGCCGAAAACCCAAGGCTGACCGAAAACTCATTTCAGCCTTACGATTTCACGCCTAACACTATTATTTGTAAGTAAATCTTACATATTAGGCTATTTCCTTAACATACTTGCCATTATATTTACTAATTTTATGCATATATATTGCGTGAAATGCTATTAGGACTCGGTTTTGTTACGTGATCTATCTTGAAGAAATAACATCCTATATCGAACCTTCTATCGAATCACTCACATAAGGTGAGTTTATACCCCTAAGTTTTTACTATTTTTCAATGTTGGGGGGGGGGGGGGGGATACAAGTAAAAACACAAGGAAATCTCGTGTTAACATTCAAATGATTTCAAACAATTTTAAAAACATATCAAATTATTTCAACCGATTTAAACTATTTTAAAAAATGTTTTCAAACTACTTCAATTGTTTTATACTTTTATTTTACAACATACATGTTGTATATATATATATATATATATATATATATATATATATATATATATATATATATATATATATATATAATTAAGATCCAACAGGCTTAGGACGGGTGTTTCCATCTTATCTCCTGTTCCTTGTCTGGTTTTAGACTAGGGTTTGAATCACTTGTCCGATTGTCTGATTGATCTCAATTATATATATATATATATATATATATATATATATATTTAAACATGAAACGTAGTTAAATAAAGCTTTAAACCCATTTGTAACATGTCTAGCAAAGGATATATTTCTTAAATTAATTCATTTTGCTATATAAACTGTTAAATTACTAGAATTATCATTTCATACGGAGCATACATGTAGACTGTAATATGTATAGTTTAGGTAACACTAATACTATTTTACTAAGTCAGGGATATCAAACTAAAATGATTATTTAATCATAATTATTTTACACTACTAGTACAAGATAATTTATACATTTTCAAGTACA